AAGCTGCATTAAAACAAGATTGTAATATTTGATTCACCCTTATCGCAGTTTTACAACACCGTCACAGACTATCGTAGAATACGTGTTTTATGACGTAGAATGGGGGGAGATATAAAATACTGTCGCCCTTAAGAACCGACTATTACATATTGATACTTGAATCGATATGAAATTCTTTAAAATTTATCTTAGTTTTTAACTACCATATTGATAGTGAGAACCGATGTCAACTTTATAATTAATATCACTAAACCTCGCTACTGGATACGTTTATTTTTTTTTCGTCAGGACCACCTTGAACTTTAAAGTCTGGTAAAAATTACCTTAAATTCTCTTTACTTTTGTGTATATCTTAATTAAAGGACGACAAAGTCAAACGATCCACTCGACGAAAATTATTCACAGCCTAGGGACATCTGAAAATGTTTTTTAAAATTAAGAGTATAAAAGGGAATTATGGGATTGGTATTAAAAGGTACCAGGTCTTATAGTAATCTGGCTCATCGCAAAAAAAATACGTTTGTCATTTAATTTTGAACTTAAATACATAAATAACAAACAAACCACATCTTAGATTATATAAAATTCATTTTAATTATAAACTGCAAATTTCATTTCGTTTCCTCATTATATTCATGTAAATGCATTTATGAAAATGCAGATTGGACTTCGTCTTCAAGAAACACACGTACAAAATTTTGGCAGCAAAATACTACACCCGTGAGGTTAAGACTCTTCATAAAATTTTAATGCAGCAGGACTACCACCCAAAAGTTTAGCATTCACAAATATAAGATTAAGGAAAATCATGATATTTCAGTCCCCCAGCCAAAACCCATAAGAGTTAAGCCTTTGAACACTTGGCCAAAGATTCGAGAACAATCAGTCAAACCGAAAAATTTGAGTGCAAACCGCGCTGGCGAGACGCTTCATAATGGCACTACATTTATCACAGCCCTGTAGTGATGACAGTACATTCATTTAGCCATTGTCCCGACGTGTTCTGGCACGGCTGAGGAATATAAAATTTGGATAATGCCAGGTATTCGCATTTTATTATCGCGAAAAATGTGATATTCAGTCTGCAGTCTCCGCTTTTTGTATATTTTTATCATCTGCATGTCGTAGTCTGTGTTAAACATGCTCGGATTTAAAATTCGTATGACAGATTAAATAAAACTAAAATGTCCCTGGGGTATGTTTCTATGAAAAAAAACATTAAACTAATGGATACAAGAAATATTCCATACCATATTTATCAAAATCCTCTTCATTATAGGCAATACTTCGTATTTTATTAACACAAATTCGTAAATGAGTGCTCTAACACCTGGCTAACAACCAAATCAATTTCCCTTTTATTTATTATGTACAACACAATGCGTCAGATATTATCATAGATTTAACATGACAATAGATTTACTACACATACCATTAAATAATTCCAACGGACAACGATAGCGATCAGCTATTATAACTACACAAATCGAATCATACAAACAACTAAACTAACCAAATTAATGTACATCTATTATAACGCACGACTCTAACATCTAATATTTTATGAAAAATATAAAATAATATTAACACACACATAAATAAAAGAAACGTTGAACGTTAAAAATCCCAAAGCTTGATAATGTACACGCAATTCACAAATCTGTTCCAATTAGAGGTACAATATAGCTTTTTTTTCTAGCAGCCAACGGTTCGGCGTTTGCCAAGTCCGAAGAATGTTTGTGGTGTTTGTAATTAAATTGCCCTGCCAAGAATCCCGCGACACATGTATTAAATCAGAACGTAAAAACCGGAGTGAATTAGGGTCGTTTTAATTTATCCATGCGGCACTGAAATGGAAATCATATTTGAGGAAATGAATTAAGTTTTTGAGAATGTCGAAGAAAGAAAAGTAAAGAAAAAATTATGAACAATACTATAGACTTTCTTATATAATCAATGTTTAAATCGAATATTTGGTATTGAATTTATATCTTACAATGCTTCTGGGTACTCAAAAGCTTGGAGTTTGATCTGAATAACATGTTAGAACACTACGACGAATTTGTACGGTCTGTAACTAAGGTATATTAGGTGAAAGCCAAACCATTAACTAAAATGTCTATATTATATACTCATATCTTGTCGTAATCAGCACTACTTTTTCCTTAGTTCGTTTGTTAAGTTAATCTAAAGAAATACTCGTATGCCTCTCCATCTGCAACATATTTTTTCCAACTATTCTACAAAGTACTCATATATCTCTTCTATACTTCTGTCATTTGATTCAACTGGAAAATCTATACTTATCGGTAAACAGCAAAAACTTTTCAGGTTCAGGTTCTAATTAGAAAAGATATATCATATCAAATAATTGAACTAGTAGAAACTTGAAATAGAAGAATAACATTCAAATATATTTTATATTACAAATTAAATATTACCATTGTAGATAAGTACAAAAAAAATTATTATTTTATGACTAGGTATTATCCGTTCTTATAAGAGTTTAGTAACGTGTTAATTTCTTATCATTAAATAATTGCAAACTAAATAAATTACATGAATTTCAATCACAAGATTCTGTTAGACTTGAATAAGACAAGTTGTATGTTTAATCTGCGAGGGTAACACAAGTTTAATTTAATTACAAACTTGTGTCTAAGGCGGTACAACTCGGACGGATAACAACATGACTGGGTTTTTGTTATATTTTCTTTAATGTTCTAAGTCTAGACTATATATTACACAACAAATTCTAGATGATAATTGTAAAAGTAAAATGCAAAAGTACAGAGAAATATGAAAAAAGAGTGTTTATTAATTCAAATTGGATGTCTATCGTTTTATATTTGTATGCAAAGCCGTGATCCTAACGGGCATTCTTTTGTGTTAAGGTAAAATGGAGTCTATCAACAACAGCTGCTTGTGTCGGAAAAATATTGCCCGCTTAAGCAATTCCGGTATGATTTATGCAATCATGTTACACTGTAATATACTACATATTCATTTTATCATATTATATTTAAATTTTTCACATATCATCTACATTAACAAGTGAAGTACTCATCAGAGTAGTGTCAAAGATTACTCTGCGTTCTTTACGTCTTTAAAAAAAATTAAAGAGAATAATTTACGGGAGTTTTAATTTATAAAAGACTATCAAGTATCAAGGAATTAGTGTTTATAATTAAGTTATAATGAGTACGGTATCTTATTGGACAACATTAATCAAACCAGTCACTCCATTAGTGAGAAACAAAAGAGTTAAAACAATCAATAGATTCGCGGGGAGCGATTCACTTCACTACGAATACTGTCACCATGCATTTATATTATACAGGACAGTATTATAATAATATAACCATTTTAACTTCACAATTATACGTATTAAACAATAATACAAGCTAATTATTTTGTATTTATTAATAATTTAAGAATATGAATTTAATTTTAATATCATGGTGTTCCTACACGTCACGTCCAATGATAGATGAGTCGTATCCCTCACGAACTGAGGATGGTATCAATTCTAAAGTTACAAACAACAAGATTAATACCACATTTACCAAAACATTATATACAAGATAACTAATATAACCTTTTAACCAACATGTTAGTGTGGTTTAACTTCATGTATGCGATTAAATATACCTTATAGGTGAGTATTTTAGTATTTTATTCATGGCCGTATACCGTCCATAGACAATTTCACGGCCCCGTCCTAAGTACTGCTATAAAAAGTTTAAACCACCTGAGCCTCAATTCATATGAAATACGCTACTTACTAAATAGACAAACTTTTTCGTATACACCTGATTAAAATGCATTTAAAAAATGACGTAAGTATTTTTACGATGAAAGTAAATATATGGGTTTATTAAAAGTTCCAGTGTTATACTTCTAATATAAAAAAATCCATGTTATAATGTTAGTTACCGAACTGCTCCAAACTGCTTCACCGATTTTTACCAAATTGTATATTTGTATTCAGTAGCTCTGAGAATCGGCTACTATCTGTTTTTCATAACCGTAAGTGATAAGGTTTGTTCACCCTTAATTATTTAATTCTTTGACGATTTTTTTTGTTTTTAAAGATTAATAGTGTTGCATTAAAAGTAGGTACATACAATCCGAAATTTTTACTTTTCTATCACCAACCCCCATTTTTGGCAAAACAACGTTTGCCGTATGCTAGTAATATATAAAATTAAAAAGATTATTGAACATCTCAATACTTGTATTATGTATAGAAAGCCTTATACTTGTAAATCATAAGAATTTATAAATAAAAATCCATTATAACGATTCCAATACAAGTCGACTCGTCTGGATGCGATATAAAGGCGGGTTATAAAAATGTAAATCTAATTAATTTGCTAAGTGGCTGTCAAACGCAGGCTCGTCGCTCCGAGGAAGGTTACAAAGAAAAATACGTTTGTTCATGGAAATTATTTATTAAAGAGGAATGTTTATTACGAATACATTTTATATCACCCCGGGCTATGGTTAATAAGGTTCACTGGTTTGTTTAATAAAAAATATTGAAAAAGATATTTCAAATGTTATGAAATTCTTTTATATGATGAATACTTTGATCTAATAGTTACTTAATTTAAGAAGTAAAAATAGATTCACCACAGACAATGGTTATTTGACTATTACTATTTAATTAAAAAAAATAATGATACTTTTAGTTATAAATAAAAGTTAATAATAGTTCAAGTGACTTGCTATAATTGTTGCCGTATTCCTAAAGTCGCAGATTCGAATCCCGGTCGTGTCCATGAATTTTTCATTCAATATTTGATAGTTAATATTAAATGAACAGAATGTACAGTTATACAAATTTAAAAAGAATAATAAATACAAGAACCACTTTCTACATATAAAATAGCGCCATCTATGAATTGATATGGAAAAAAATCATTAATATTAATTCATGTATATATCTTATTAACAAAAGTCACATGTATATATTGAATATATATTTATTTTATTCATTACAATATACTGAGCACGGTTTTTCTTTCATTATCTGTGAAGTGTAGAACAGCGGCTATCGCGTTCAGCATGTGTTTTCTTCCGACGTAGTCACTAGACATGAGATATGATATGACAACATTCTTCAAATATTCAAGATTAGCGCCTTCACGGGACTGAGTTCTTCGTAATCTGAAAAATAAATAAACAACTTCAAGTATACATACTCAGACTACGTACGAACGGTTTAAAGTTAATCCGTTACATATTCAAATATCTATATATCCTACAAATCGATACCCCCTAAGTATAATGAGTCAACTAACATTATTGTAATATTACAGGAGAGTGATTTGAAGGCAAATCGTTTATATTTTAATGAAATCAAATTAATTCGAAATAAAGCAAATGTTTTTTTTTTAATAAAAATTGTAAGCATTTCCTTTGACATACAATAATTTTGCTGATTTTTGTTTTTAAATTACATTTTATGTAGATGACTGGGTATACGCCGACGGGGCTCAATAGTGAAATGGCACAACTACCAGTTATATTCATGTACGTTGTCCACTTACCCTCTTCATCCCTTGTTAGAACCATATCATCTATTCCTGTGTGATTATTTATTGCACCAGTGGTATTTTGATTTTTACTGATATTGCAATTGATTTAGTATACGTGAAATTATTTCGGTGATTATCGTTCTTTTTTTATTTATTTTTTTAACACAAACGTTAAGATCATGGTTTATCCCGTACGTTTATACAAAAATACCTAAATTTGTTAGTGGACTCAGTATACTTAGGAGGTATCGAAATGGCCTTAACCCACATTGTTATATCCTCATTAACACACTTTACTTAAAGCATTACTCTATATCAACAACGAGTGTTAGCGGACTTGTTTATTTTTATTCTATTCATATGTTTCTAACAGCGCCATCTATCGAGAGTAGTATGTAACCGAATCAGTCTCGTAGTCGCTCCCAGACATTGTCCGGTAACAGATCTACAAATTGCTTATTCCCTATCTACATATAAGCACGTTCATCAAACTTCTCGTTGTATATCAAATTTTTGTATGTGTGTGTGAAAACCTATACATGTGTTGTGGTTTCTACAGAGCTTCTAGCAAGTAGGTTCGTTTAATTCGTTTAAATTTGTCGTTTGTTACGGAATATTTAGTTAAGCCCTTGTAATATTTAATAGGACACATTATTTTAATTATCTTTCTGAGCTCCGGTGGATCAATTACAATTATCTAACTATTATATTTATTAAAGATATATGGAAGTTGGTATTTATGAGCTATCAGCGGGTGATGTATGATTAAATAAATAATATACGTACAACACTTAACATTCATACAATAATACAATGGATACATCTACCTACAATCTCTCAAATAACTTCTTAGGTAATATTACGTGTGAAGATATCTGAATCTAGTTTGAGTTACAACTAGCTTTCCGCCCGCAGCTTCGCCCGCGTGGAGTTCGGTTATATCGCGTTTCCAAGAGAACCTTTCAAAAGTCTGGGACAAAAACTATTCTATGTTCTTTCTCAAGGTCAACTCTATCTCTGTATCAAATTTCATTAAAATCAGTTCAGTGGTTAAGCGTGAAAGCGTAACGGATAGACAGACAGAATTACTTTCGCATTTATAATATTAGTACAGATTTTGCATTCAATGCGTCTTGTATACGAGTATATATAATGATATATTATTTCTGTATTCACCTGTCAATCTCTTCTTTGAGTGTTCTCACCACCTCCTTGTAACGCTCCTTTTCTATAGTAGCTTCACGTTGACAATCTCTGTAACAATTTAGTGATTATTAATTACAAAAAATCTACCTTTTCTTCTGTCCTGACTCTATAAAATTTTAAAAATGTGATATAATAAGACGTTTTGAAATTAATTGGGATATTTTATATGTATATTTTCAATACACTTAAAAATAAAACCATTAAACATAAACCAACAATAACTGCAGCTACGGGAATTTCTTACTTTGAGATACATTTGTATTCTTCAAATTGATAACATGAAACTGCATCTCGAACATAAAAGGGGCAACGATAGACATCCACATGTAACAATACATTTACAAACTGGATTGTGAAGACTAATGCTGAAATAGTGTGAACTAAGTAATCGATACAATCAACTAAATCATATATTATGTAAGTAGACAAGTACACCATTCCAATATTGTTTGGATAGTAAAAGTGGATTAGTACACCACTCAAATATATTATGAATAGTATAAGTGAAGGAGTACACCATTCCAATATATTTTGGATAGTTAGATGATTAATGTTGATTCCCAAAAGAGGGTTGATGTCAGGCAGGCGCCCGGACGTAAAAACAATTAGCCAAAACTATTCACAACATGTAAGGCAGATCCTGGCTATAGCTAGGAAATTGCCAGGTTTAGGCAGACCCTGGCTAAAGCTGGGAAATAGCCAGGAAGAAGAAGGAGAGTTAAAGTGGATTAGCAAACTATTTCAATATAGTTTGAATAGTATAAGTAGACAAGTACACTATTCCAATATAACAATATATGTTCAGTACCTGTGTAGTCCTTCAAGAGTGTGTTTCTCTCTCCGCAGCTGAGTTATGTCGAGGTCGCGGCGAGCCAGCTCGTGGGCGTAATGCAACATGTGAGGAGACATACCATCCTGGAATATATAGTTAAAAGATGTTAATATAGTATAAACAAACATACTAATATTACTGATATGGACTTATGGCCCATTTTGAACAAATTTGTCGTAATTGTTAATTCCCATGCAAAATTGGATCGATATAAACGAGTATAAGACTTTCTTGTGTCTCGTGTTATTGACATAAAATTTTTGAGAGTAAATTAAACATGGTAGAAATTAAAAATAGCTGAATAAAAAAAACGAAGGAAATAATCCGTTCAACAGCTTTTAAGCTAATTATATATGTGAGAGTTACAATAAATTCTCATTATAAGTTTTTATACGAAACTAGTATTTTTGGATGTAAACTTTACTAAATAATGTTTCTGAGACAAATTTCACTAAATACCAGTGACTTCCATATGACGTCATTTTTAACAAAATAAAACTACATATGTCTGTTTTTGTGTCAGCAACAGAATTTCATGATAATTTATACCCTATATTTTGTAGTGAAAGCAGCATTAGTATACAGTTTTATCGAAGTAACTATATTATTAGTTGCGTGTGAACGAATTTTCATAGTTTTCCCTACATAACGTCAGTATATCCTTACATTAATCACATGTCCGTCCTTCCAGCCATCCTCGGTGCTAACTTTCCTCGATCGTTCGTGTCGTGACCGTATGTAGCTGTCAGTCTCCTCTAACAGAGTCGCGTACCTCTCTCTCTGCGTATGAACTTGTTTCTCCAGACTCTGTATCCTATTTTTAAGATCCGATGTAACCTCTTTGTGATATTCCTTTTCGGTTTTTAGTTTCTGTAACATTAATTGTTAATGTTCATACTATTTTCATATTTTTTTTATTTAATATATACATATATAGTAGATAGTACAGTAATATAATATGAACTCAACGTCTTAAATAACTAGACCGTTATAGACATTCACTTGCAGTTATATTGTGTAATAATTTTAAGTAATGAATATAACATGCATGTTACAATCACTGTAATCATTACTAATAAATACGATAATAATATTCATATAGACAGACCTTGGCTAAAGCTGGGAAATTGCCAGGAAGAAGAAAAAAAATATACATTACCTCTTCATGAAGTCGCAACAGTTCAGCCTTAACCTGTTTCTCTTCGTCCAACAATAACACGTAAGTATTAACTTTCTCTTTCAACATATCTATCTCGCTCTTCAGATCTTCCGTCTCGCTCTCATCCCCACCCGTCACTTTGACGTTAAGGAACTTATAATTGTCGTATTCCATTTTCAAATTGTCGTACTCCTCTCTGCATTTCTTATGTAAGTCGTCATACCCGTCTAGTTTGAATACAGTCGTGATGTCGACCGGACCGCCTAGCTTTTCGTTCTCAGCGAGTAACTCTTTCTTCAGTATGTGTATTTTGTCTATCAAAGTTTGCAAATATTCACTGTCAGCTAATTTCTCGTTGTCCGTCTCGCTTTTTTGAGTCTCATCTGAAAAAAAAAACGTATTTTCTTATTAACTATTTAACATTTACACGAATATTATATAAGCAATTATCTTACATTGACAAAAAAACAATTATTTACAAGACTAAAAATTGCCAATTGCCATATAAAAAATTTACTATATAGTATATTTTCTACCAATTTCTACCAATTCCTACCATTACTACCATCAGTGCCATCAGCGCCGTTACTGGCAATCTTTTCGAGTAGCCTTCCATTAAACGAGTCTCTTAATTGCTGTATCGTGTTCTGGTCTCGTCTCCTCATCATATCATATTCTCCTATTGTTTGTGATAGTTCCGCCACTTTGCCTTCAAGAAGCGCCACTCGTTCTTCCTGTCTCGCGCATATCTTCCTAGCCGATTCTTCAGCACGTTTCGCTTTAATCTGTTCCTGGAATACAAATATGTTGGTTAATATTGAGAGGTACGAATTAATCTATGTAAATTGTTGTTGCGTATATAGTTCAATAGATGGAATCACAATCTATGTCATGCGTCTTGTATTTTTAATACAGTAACTTAGCAAAGTTACTGTATTGAAAATAGATCACAGTGCTAATTAAATCCTTTATTATGTATACAACATCACCATCAAATTGATACTACGTCAATGAAGGAACAGTTTTCCAAATCTATTAAAACGTTTCCCAAAAAAAAGAGAGACTGATCAAAGGACGACTCTTTGTGCTCCAGGAAATAAATTAACAGACGTAGCTAAAACAACGAAACAGCTAAATTTCTATGACAAAATTACTGTTAATCAGGAATCAAAAGAAAAAAACTTATGCTCCATCAATATGATACTTACGGTCAGTGGCGGCTGTACCTTAAGTGCGCCCGTGCGCTGAACCACCAATTCAAAATATTTAAAAATTACAAAATATTATGTCATCTTAATTTTTAAATTACCATTTTAATATTTATTTTTTAAACATACAAAAAGGTATAAAAAATTTAATTTCCAATTATGGTCAAAAAGTTTGAGCGCTTTACTAAACTCATATCGTGCGCTCCGGCGAGTGCACGAGGACTGCTAATACATCTTCTATGAGACACGCATCAATACGCCTGGCGCGTGAGACAAAAGATAGTTCATAGAAATGTACCGAGTAATGAGTCGGTTCTCGTGCGCCGCACGAAGCGGCCGAAGGTCACCGAGAGCACCCGATGTATGACGTATTGAGCCGGCCGGCAAGGGGCCGGCCGAAAGGATGGGTGCTATGATTGACATTTCGTTAATCGTTATTGGTATTGTTTCAACTTTCACTGTATGCGTGACGCGTTAATTCGTTATTGTTTATAATTATTTCCGTAATTCGTTTTAGTTTTTATTTCGTTTCTATAATAGAACTTTTATTCTGTACTGTGTTTTTTATTAGTTGAAAATGAGTATAAATATTGATTATATTAAAGAAAATAACAAAATTTTTCAAAGTAAAGTGAACATAAAATTGGCCGGGCCGCCACGGCCCTTTTTAAATTTAAAACAAGAGTGTAAATCGAAAAATAAAGCATTTATACGAAGTTTTAAAAGTGAAATGTATAATAGAAAGAAATGGTTGTGTGGATGTGAGCGTCTTAATGCATTCTTTTGTTTTCCTTGCATTATTTTTGGCGGAGAATCGATTTGGACAGAAACTGGAATCAAGGATTTGACGCATTTAAGTGAAAAAATAAAAAAACATGATTCTTCACAAGTACACTTACAAAATGTAATGAGTTTGTCTGTGTTAGGCACAGTCGATATTCGTAATCAGCTAGATTCTGTGTATAGAAGTAATATCCAAAAGTATAATAAACAAGTTGATAAAAATAGATACATTTTATCACGTCTTATCGATTGTGTCAAGTTTTGTGGTGCATTTGAGTTAGCTTTGCGAGGTCACGATGAAACTATTGAGTCCAGTAATGCTGGAGTGTTTCGTGGATTAATAGACTTTGTATCAGAGTTGGATATAGTTATGAATTAATGTAGAAAAAATAAACATATTTTATGTCAATTGTTGTTTTTGGCAATATTTTAGTAAAGTGAACCACCAGTTCGATAACCCACCAGCCGCCACTGCTTACGGTAAATTTACCACTCATCATTCAATTCAAAGCTTTTTTAACAACTTTAGGTAATAGAGCCTAGCCGTGGTCAAGTTACTATAGCTCAAACATGGGCTGGCTTAAACGGGTAAGTACCACCCTCTTAAAGAATATCGGCGTGAGTAACCTAAAATGGCTACATTTCGTCCGATAAGTGAGAGTGACGGTTTCCTCTCCCTTTTCAACAATCAAGGTCGGCAATGTATGCCCAAAACTATGTAACAGATGTCCATAGGAATGCTATATAACCTCCATCAGGTTATCAGTCTGCTTACTTTCCTCCTTTGCCATACAAAAAACCTTTTGTCCATTAAACCCCTTTCCCGAACACACCTATCGTTGCTCGATTGCCTCTTTGCCATACAAAAACCTTCTATCCATATATAACCGTTCCCAGTACACACCTTTTTTTGCTCATTTGTCCCTTTGCCATAAAACAAACCTCCAATTCATATATAACCGTTCCCAGTAAACATCTCTCGTTGCTTGATTGCCCCTTTGCCATACAAAAACCTTCCATTCATATATAACCGTTCCCAGTACACACCTTTTGTTGCTCATTTGTCCCTTTATCATACAAAAACCTTCTATTCATATATACCATACCTCTCGTATAGCGACCGCGTGTGTCTGTTCGAGCAGCGCCAGCTTCTGTTGCAGCCTCACCAACAGCGCCGGTGTTTCCGCTGTCCTCGCCTCAGCTCGCATCAATCTCCGTTGACTAGCTTCGAGATATCCGCTGAGATCTCGTACACGTTTCTCTAGATCGGCCTGTGATGCTATATATATATAAAAAAAGATAATAATAATATACTCGTGGCGTTATGGAAGTTCTGACATGTTAATCTATACATATACATAATAAAATTGTAGAAAAGTGCTGTCTGTACATTGAAAATAAAAATTAAAAAAAATAGCATTGGTTATTGTTATGTCGATGTCGAACCCAAAAATGTAGTTAACTTTTTTTTGTCTGTTTGTCTGTTCACGCTAATCTCAGAAACGGCTGATCCGAGTTGGATGCGCTTTTCACGAATATATTGTGGTATGCTTCAGTTATGCTTTAGTGTTTGTTTCATGTCAATCGGTTCATAAATAAAAAAGTTATGTCAAAAAAACGCTGCTCATAGTCACTATTCCACGCGAACGACGTCGCGGACACAGCTAGTATTAGAATAAACTCGTCGCGATTGGCAGTCCGGATAATCGCGAATTCGGATAACCGAGGTCCGGATAATCGGGGTTGATTATATTTTTATAAAAAACGGTGAATATTTTGGTGGGAGATTGACCATATTATTTCTTATTTTATATAAGTTTTCGGAAGGTAACCTTATGTGCTTCATAGATATGCTTTGGAATATAAAAGATATGTAACATACATATTGTCGGGGATAGTGCACAACCACGTAAATAGCATTGGGAAATTAAGACTATCTACATTGGAAGCAGATTATCAGAAGAAAAAAGAAAGAGTAGTTTTTTCAATTAGCAATAAATTAAATACTAAATTATGAAAAAATTGCATTAAAAGTTGTTAATTTAGAAAATATTTCAGTTTAAACCTTCTTCTGTCAATTTACTTCAAATGTAGATACGCGGCATTATCCAGTAGTCGTTACGCGGATTTGCACTATCCCCGACAACATATCAGTTAAAAAATGCTAACTTAGTCCTGAATAAAGTAAATATTTTTTGGTACATTATTTCAAAATGGAATCTGTGTAAATTAAAAATGGCTGTATCATCAATGTCATATTAATAAATATTATAATATTATAGATTTTACTTAAATTAATATTTATAACAGTCTAATGTATATTATTTTAAATATTTTCAGAACCATATCGTAACAAGAAGTCTTCTTTTTATATGGAGTGTATTAGAAAATATTTTTTTCTTCTTACCTTCAGACTCTGTGTTTTGAACAACTTTGTCTTCTAACTTTTCCTTGTTTTTTCTTTCTGTGTTCAACTTCAGATGGAGCTCTCTGGAAATATAATAAACAAACATATAATATATGCTTTTATAATAATTTTTCATGAAACATCGGGAGAATGTTGCTAAAAATTATTATAAATGCAGGTAAATCTGAAAAGTAAAGTTTTTTTTGTTTGTTCTTAGTATCTAAATATTGTTAAGTAATAATAAGATATCTAGTATATTGTAAGTACATAGATCAATTTATTATATGTATTAGGCTCCATCATTTAGTCTTCTACTTAAGCATGATACATATATAACTCAAACTCAAATAACTTTATTCAATATAGAAGCATTACACTTTCCTATTGATGGTCACTTGAGACACTACCACCGGTTCGGAAAAGAAAATACCCTGACCTGAGAAGAACCGGCGAAAGAAATTACAAGTTTAATATAGTTTTATTGTATACAACAAATTGATATCATAAAATCTGTGTTACTTAGAATACAACTCACTTCAACATAGCTGCGTGATCTGCCCTCTCTTTTTCTCTTTCCTGAATCTCATATGCTATCTTTGTCTTCAGATTTGCGACTTCGGCTAAATGTTGCTGCACCAACGTCTTTGTTTCCTCTCTCATTGATGCTAACATGTTTTCATACTTGAAAAAATAACAATTATTGTAATGATGATACTCAAAAATATAAACATGAGATAAGTCATCAATATTTTATAAAAAACAAAAAATGTGCTTTACAAAGGAGCACTTCAATGAAACGGATAATTTGCGGACACATATAACGCTTCAATTCGGTATCTACTTTGGATTCACTTTCATTTACTTAGAGAAGTTCAACAAAATAACACTTCATTTTTGTAATCAAAATGAATTCATTATTGTTGTGAAATGATATAAAAATTTTCCTTTTCAAATATAAAAACAAAAAAAAATCTTCATCTTTTAATCACCAAATGAAATGTTCCATAAAACAAAGCCTTCTGGTGGCGAAACGGAGTTCGCCTGGTTTACTAGTAGTAAAATAAATGCAGCTACGTAAATTCTAGACCAAGTGAATGAAAAGGTGTTCTGTATTTGTTTACCTTCTCCCTGGTAACTTTCTTGTCTGCTTGAAAGACTTCTTCCATACGATTCTTTTCTGCTGTAAGAGTTGACAGAGATAGAGTGAGTGCTGCGATTGAATCAGAAGATCCTGCTCCTGAAAGACAAAGAAAATACTTTATATAAGCATTTTAAAAAGATAGTTTTTATATATAAATTATGGGAGATCACTACTATTTTTCCAGTAACTTAATGTGGCTGTACTTTTGAATTTTATTTAGTAAGGAGCATTCATTAGCATAGCAGAATTATAGCAACATACATCTGCAGTAATAGACTTGAAATTTAATATTACTTATAAAGTTCTTCTTACTTATTGTTGCTATATGTTAAATAAGGTAAAAAAACAACATAAATTAATGTTAATAAAATATAGCTTTCATTGACGAGAAATTATGTAACAAGTAGAGGAAACAATGGAAATGAGATCATTACAAAACATTCATAACAAAACATATAATTTGAGCATAAACAAAACCATACCACTTCCATCATCTTCTGTTTTATTTAAAGCCTTCAAACTAATCTCCAAGGCTTCTTTCTCCTTCACAAGGCCTTTGTACGCAGCAACAACGTCTACAAAACATATTAAACAATTGGTTACACAATTAATATTCTATGTGTGTGTTCAAAATACAGCAAGATTCTAGGCTAAAGTTACATGTTCGAACCAAATATCATATTCTGACCGATAAAAGAAATAAATTTTACCTCTTAAACGAGCTTCGTATCTTTTGATTTGATCTGCTTGTTTTGTTATGGTAGATATCAGCTCTTGTTTAGACAACGATTCCATTTTGAACCAACAGATATCAATTCAAACCCTTGATAAAATATAAGTAAAGATCTAATTATAAACTAATGAGACAAGCCACATTTCAATTTCTTTTAATTTATAAACAGAAAAGTTTAATGAAAATAATATAACATATGTTGAAAAACTTTACAACTGACAGACGTAACTCGTAACGTCAAATCCCTCTTTGACGGATATATTTGACTGAAGTCTGAATCATGATGTCATAAAAATGTGACAAGAGCTATTTAAAATATGTTACCTTTACATAAATAACATTAGTCATATGTATTAATTAAATTATATATTTGTTACGTAGGTGTTTAAGATAATGACAGTTTAATAAAATTTATTCAAAAAAGTGCTTAATATTTTAAGATATAATATAGTGTATATATGTTAAATGCACTGATACATAAAATTTAAAAACAAATATAATTGTGACAAAAGATAATTTCTATTCTATGGATTTATTCACACTTGAATTGTTTCATTATGTATATTAAGGCAATGTTTTTTATTACTGTCAATATGACTAAGGCTCTGTTCGCAATCGTAGTTAACGCCGCTTAAAAAGCGTAATGCATCTTATCCTCAAGGCAGGACGAAAAATAGTTAATCAATGAAATAAAAAATGTCAAAGTCCTGATAGAAAAGGATTCTACCTAAAATTTTTAAAACATTTGTTCAATTTATTTCACTAATCTATCACATTTTGTACTACAGCCGGCTTCGAAGTAAGGAAAGCTTGGAAATCAATTTGCAAACCATGGATGTTCCAATCTGCTGATCAAATAGCATTCAATTATTTAACTTAAAAGTTTTTGGATATCCAACTTTTATTTAAAAATTCTCTTAATTTTCCAATATCATTCTTATTTCAACAAAGCAATTAATTGTATATTTGAAGACTATCCTACTAAATTAGAAGGAAAACAAATCTTTCCTATTCTATGCATAGCCAGCTTGATCAAAATTTCTTACTCGCACATGTCAAAATTAGCAATTCTACACGTACCTACTCCTTTTTTAACAATACGCCTAATTTTTAACAAATGTATGAATTTCCGGGAGTTGTAGTCTCCACAAAATCGTCAAATTTTAATGAGGTCTAAGAAATTGTTCTCTATAAAATACTTCAGAGCAAAATTCGTTGACGAATAATAGAATTAATTGTACCTAGAATGCTTCGTCAATCTCTAGCTATACTATTGTAAAAAATATCATAAAACTTTAAAAATTACACCATTTACCTATAGACAATGTCTAAACTCTAATTATTATTATTAAATATTATTTGTGGTGGATAGTGAATAAACGTTATGATATTTAAAAGTCTCTTTTGATTAAAAAAAATTGAAACATATTAACGGATGTATCAAAAATATTTTTTGGGCAAACCCAATGAATGAAAATTCATGTTCATAACAACACAAAACCTTAGGTTATTAATATAATTTTTATATATTTCTTCCTCTTACCTCATATTTGCTTCATAAATAATTCATCCCAACACCTTTCTGCCTTCTTCAAAGTACAAATATTCGTGCAGGTATTGGATATTTGTGGAAATCCGAGGACACTGTAATATGCGAATAAAAACACCCTTAAACACTTACCTCGATATTTTTTTCATAGCGCTACTTATTATCTTTTAAGTCATAATAGATTTGATTCATTGCAACATTGTAGGCGATTTATTTGAAATCCTTATCTTTAAAATTAGTTTATAAAGGTATTTAAAAGCTTGTACTAAATAATAAAATAAAACTATTTGTGCTTTCTTCTCTGACCACTTTTTTACTTTTATTACTATAGTCACTTAATAAACACATGACAACCGTATCAATAAACAGATGTGGTAGAGAATTATTTATTACTAAATATCTCTGCCTCTCAGGTAATCTATTTTAAAAAAGTGAAATAGTCTGAATGAAAATAATCTTTATTTTTTTATATTTGATATTTATTACAATATCAGAGTAAAATGAGAAGGAAAACATTTATAAACCAACAGTAGTAGGGTCCCGGGGGCATCTTGTGCACGGGGTATAGATTTAAGGGGGACGTGGCCACCGGTCAGTGACCCTATGTTTAGGCAGTATCCTAACTTATATATTATAACTTCAAAAACATTATTACTTTAAACACACGCCGCCATATTAGTACGAAAGGGGTGCATTGGCAATATTTTAATGCAAAGTTGACCTATTTAACAAATACGAGATGTAAGGGGAACTGAAATCTGCCACGATGGATATCTCCCTATCTGTTGCAGGGTGGCGGAGTTCATCGAACTTAAATTAGGGTGACATGGCTACATTCACCCCCAATGTTGCGTAGTAAAAATGCCTTCCCGAATCTATTTTGTCCCTTACTTTTTTATATTGCGTGACGTTTTTAGTTAAAACAACCACGTGTTAATATTACTATTATTTTAATTTCGACGTTAAAACTTACCTATTTCGTTCGATGCTATAAAATAATTTGAATAATATTTCGATTTTGTGTCACATGTTCGAGAAGCACGCGTTTCCTTTGTCCGTAGGTTTGGTTGTTCAAAATAAAAGAATATTATAGTACATTATTGCTAATGTCGATATTTAATGTCTATATCAATATTCCCTACTCAGATTACATTCGTTGACATTTCGAGATTAATGTAAGCCAAACATTTAAACACCTTGTCGGCAATTTGTACTCTGTCTTACAATTATCTACGTGCTAGGCCAAACCTTATTTTAACTGTACCCAAACCTGCCCGCAAAAAAATAATAATAATATACATAAACATATATATACTGTTAGAATAAATAAACGCTTATAATCGAATGTTAGTCGATAACGGATATAATACTAAAAATAAATATTACGAAATTATAAAACAAATAATATATGGGACAGGTCCATAAAGAAAAATATTGGAAGAATCAACCTCTGTAATGGGTGACTGTGAACATTGTAACACTTCACTTGTACAATTGTAAGAATAATCCTCTGTAATGGCTGGCTGTGAATATTGTAACACTTCATTTGTACAATTGTAAGAATCCGTATGTAGAGGACGACACAACACAAACTATTCTATGTTTTAAATACACAGTCCAATATATTTTGGGCGATAAAACATTTCACATTTGAGCACAATAATTCAATGTTGACTCCATATTGAACTATGAATCATGCATCTGACATACAATGAAAGCTTACAGAGCCTCTTTATAACATTATACTATAGTTATATACTTTAAATATTTATAATTAAAAAAAAATAAAACATTACAACTTAACATTTACCGCCCAAAATATTACACATTGTGAGGTTCATATGTGACTAGTAAGTACACACAATTTGTTACTGTTTCATTTCTTTAGCGTGTGCAAATAATATACTTAAATTTAAAAACACCACACCAACATAATTTAAACCAAATACCTAATCTACATTTAAATTACAGAACACAGTATATTTCAAATACTAAAGGTACTTAAAGATTTAACCTTGCGCAAATTATAACTGACTAGTACAATCAAGTTTAAGTACTTTAAATAAATAATTATAATAATGAAACATTCTTACCAGTATCTACCACGAGGGCATCAACGACATCGCCTACCAATTTACAGCCGTACATAACTATATAGAGACATTTAAACATGGCTTCTCAACACACATCAAAACGGATCACCAGTAACTATTGTTTTATTCAATACAAATGAAAATATTCAAAATGCAAGTAACAATTAGCCACAGAGAAGGAAGGCTTCCGTCACATGTTCATCAATGATATGATATTATTTACCTAGAAATAATTTATCTATAACCAGAACTACTAAATTATATCCAAATTATTGTGAAGTTTCTGTGTAGTGTTATATATTAATGAATATCAAATTAATTTAGTACTTACACTAATACAATATATTAATTGTAACATCAAATCAAAATCTATTATATATTACTATTTACTAATATTATAATAAATTATTAATTATACATTACTTAAATATAGATAATAAATAGAGATTATACAATTAAATGAATAAGAGAGACAATATCATAGTCCAATCAATATTCAAATTTTTCTTTGCAATCATTAGCAATTTTCATATCGATTGATTTGCACAACACAAGCCGTCTCCTAGTATGTTCAGATGTGAATGGAAACCGATTCCATTACCATCTGAATACAAAAGGTACATTAAAGATTACCGGATGCTTAAAGCAAAAAATAATGAGATGCTCTCCTCCACACTCTTATATTAAAACGACCCCTAATATAAAGTTATAAATGTGCCCGCAAATAGAATGCGTCATTAGAGATTACAAAAAAAATAATTGTTACATCTTAAAATGTTGATCAATTAAAATTTTAAGTCATGGTCATTAAATTCATAATTTTGTTTGTGGATTATCGGACTGTCAGATTTATATGTCAAAGAAAATTATCATTACAATACGAGTGATGTAAAAAAATTATATTAATTAAAGTTACATTATATGGCTACATAAATGATTTGTTTTTTATAAATCCCTACATAAGATTTTGTGCATTATCAAGCTCCCCATAGTCATTGTATTCAACATTTTAACATTACCTGTTAATAGTCCTTAATGTATCAATTATAATAAAATATAAAAGCTTCTGTGGAAGAAGTTATTATGTTCATGTATTCATGATCATTATCTAAAGATCAAATCAGTCCCAATTTCGACATCTTTGGTAGACTAAAACACATTTAATGTATATCTAAATGTACAATATACATTACATTATTTATTGCTGCATTACTATTTTCATTAATAAATACTTGTATAATTGCACTGCTTTTTATATATTTTTCTTTTACTTATAGTAAATTTTTCTTTTATATTGCACAGACACATATTGTAGAAATAAAATATATAATATGCTGTTTTACTGATCTATCATGGAAATATTTGTAGGACAAAAAAATAATAATTAAATAATATTTTATATATGGACAGAGCTCCGTCCTTTCTACGGTAGACATATATTATGAAATAAATAAGTTTAATAACTATACTGCCTATCATAAAATGCCTCCGTTTACAACATTTCTCTATTTACTTAATATTTTCAGTGTAAATTTTATATTCTATTGCCATTAAGCATTTCAACGGTTACAAGGCAGTTGTAGAAACAAAAATATCATTAAAATTATAAACCTCTCAGAGATTTGGATTCAGCTAGCCACAAATTGGCATTTTACATTTAAGTACATAAATTGTATATAGTGGGAGAGTTATATATAGACTTACAAATACTGTGATGTTACTTATGTGAGAATAGATGGTTTGTACTTTATGAACACTGGTTTAAAAATTGGTGTCATGTCATGATTTACATCATCACTCTCCATCAATACCATCTTACACGGACGACACCATGAAAACACCATGACAGAGTAATGATCAACATTTTCCATTAGCTACAATTTATTGACTAGATTTTAAAGAGTTTAGGATTTACTCTTGTTTGTTTTGAAGCTGACTTGCAGCACTTGTCCATTGAGGGAATAGCCATTCAGTGACTGGATAGCGACTACTGCCTCGTCGTAATTGGTCATTGTAACAAAACCGTAGCCTTTACACTTGTTGGTGGTGGGATCTCTTATAATTTTAACACTCTGAACCGCTCCGAAGGGGCCAAACAGCTGCCATAGCACACTTTCTTCTGTATCGGCACCGATATTGTAAACAAAAATGCACCAACCTGAACCGCCTAGTGCGTTACCTTGGACGAGGGGATCCGCAAGCGGCGAGTATCGTTGTAGTCCTTTATTAATGGCGAGCAGAGCCTTACCCGCGGGCCCCAAGAAGCGACGGACGGTGGGCGGCGCGAGGTACGTAGCCAGTGGAGCCAGGGCCTTGTTTTGGTTACTTGGATTGTTTGCACATTTCACTGTAATAGGTCCCGTACCTCCCGGCGGTATAGTGCCATTTAACTCTCTTATAGCATTCTCTGCTTCGATTCTTTGATCGTAACGAATAAATGCAACCCCTCTGGAAGGTCCTTGAATCCCTTGTTCTTCCATGCCCCCTTGCAATAAATGCCCGACGTTCATATTTTCATGTAAGATGCGCGAACTTATTATTGTACCGAACGGACTGAATAACTTCTCCAGATCCTGCTGCGTCATGTGCTTAGGGAGACCAGAAACGTAAAGATTAGCGCCTTTAATGGCATCTGAGCTGGGACGAGCGTAGGACACTTTTATAATTTTGTTCTGTAATCGTAGACCATTCAGTGTGTTCACAGCTTTTTCGGCATCTTCAGGCTTATGATAATTGACGAATGCATACCCGAGACTTTGGCCATTGAGAATGTGATCAGGAAAAACAGTAACTTTATCTCTTATTAACTTGCAGCTTTCCACTTCGCCGACACTTGAAAAAAGTGATCTGATTTCTTCTTGGGACATTGTTTGTGGCAAATAGTTGACTATCAAATTAGTCTTAGACTCATTATTACATGGTTGAAGCTTACTTCCATTTTGCGTAGGCTGATTTGCGTTTACGGCATCGAGACTATTAGCCATCATCTTTACTGAAGTGTTAACTCAAAATCTGTCGAAATATCACTGAATGAGAGTCTTAATAAGTTTCTAAGTTATTCTAAATTAGACCATGGATATCTCACACGTAATAGTAACTTCGGCTCGCGTTGGTTGAAAGCATATGCAAGGAAAGAAAATCAATAAGATGCTGTTCACTCTCGTACTTATCCCGTTTTACGTGCTTTAGTCCCAAGATCGCTGAATCAAAACGTAAGCGGAAACACAAATGAACGGTAGTTTATTAGATATAATAGAAAATACTAAAGTAAAGTGAAAAGGAAATCAACCAAAAATCTATGCGACTTGCGACCTATTCTCGTAAATTCATTTCTTTCACTTCACTTTCTTTTTAAAATGTTGCCAGGGGTCTATGCCTAATTCACAACCCCTTTATAGTCACTAATAAGAATAATACAATATTTATTTTTAGATTGTTTGATTTTAAAAGCGATTATTCATTATATAATCATTAAATGTCCAAGAATTTGTAATCAATTTTAAGTTTAGTTTTTTTCTAATAAGAATAAAAGGGGTAACTTCTAAGTTATAACATTAAATTATAACCCACTATGATAAATATGCGTAAATAATATTTACAAAGAAATATAAATCAGTGCAATGAATATAATTGTGAAGATTGCATTTTTTTTAATATAGTTATTGTTGAAGTCTTATTATTATAAATGAAGTAAATTGTTTGTTGAAAATTATTAATAGTAGATATGTCTCAAAAATATATACATATTTTATTTCTAATAAAAAATTAACATTTTCTAGCATGAAAATACATTAAGTAGCAAAAAAATATAAAATAGATATCTTTTAAGATAATCCTTTCTAAAATTAGGGGAAATATTTTTGATACGGCAATACTGACACCAGTAGTACCAACAGCCGTTCTGCCAACTTAAATTTTATGATCGTGCATTTACAAATACAGCTTTATTTCTTATATTTTTGCATAAATTGTGCAATATTATTTTTCGTAAATACTTTCATTACTTGTTAAAACATTTTTTTTCGGTCACATAATTATAATATAATAACAGAGATATTTAAACTCATTTATCGATTACAACAATATGACACAAAAAAGTATATCCAACTCTTATAATTATATTATATTTAAGATTTTAAATGAAACTCCTTACAATGTACGCAGATGACAGTTTTTTTTATTAAACGCCCAATGGGAATATTTTAAGTTTAAATTCTTTCAACCTATGAGGTTTTTTAAAATCCAATGTCAAATCTATAATTTCATACTTATTATCTCATTGATTTTAATTTATTCATTTGCTTATTCCCAATTTCTATCAAGACGTAAAAATTTGTTACATTTTGATTCACTTTCTCTTATTCATCTAAATAACTTTCATTACAAAAATGTTCAATTATAATATTAATGATTTCTTAATCAAATAATAAATGAAGACGTGTTTCTGTTTTTTAAATTATTATAAGTTACTTTAGACGCTTTCTGATTAAGAACAAATTTAAACATCAATATGAACCACTCTTTTTCATTATTAAAAATAGTAAAGAAGCAGACAATTCAAAACTGTAATGGTATTTGGTGTAAAGGTAAGATGAGAGATTTTGAGTTTGGATTTCGGCTTTTACTTTTCGAAGTAAACATTACAATAGATATTTCGTTTTTTGAAGTTTATTTTTTGCTAAACTTTTTTCACGTAAGCCGCATTAGTCTATACACGAGAGGTGGTTAATCGATTGCAGCAAACCTGTTTTTTTTTTAAATCCGTTGTCTAGACCACCTTTAATGAATTTGCCCATAACTAAAATAAGTTTGGACAATTGTGTCCTTTTTTAATTAATAAGTATACATAGAATATTGTTTAACAATCTGTTTTATGAAAATTATGATTTCGATCGGGTCAATGACATTTACCTAGTGTTATATTTTTGGGTTCAGTGGATAATTTTCTTTAAGACTTTAAAGGAAACCAAAAAACATGGGCAAGATAATATTTAATACACTTATCAAAATAAGTTATTACTACCGTTTGAATAGGGAGAAAACTCTGATATTTTAAAATTCATTCTAAATTTGAAAGTGATTAGTGACAGCTATGTTTTATAAACCAAAACGAAAAAGAATATTCAAAGAAATCATTGTCAGAATCAATTAAAAATTATAACAAAAATGGTACATTACCGTAACTCAATAACTTTCGTTGGAATTAATTAATAGATAAGCGCCTGCACATATCTTTTAGCAATTACTCAGAAAACATAATTTGTAATATGTTTTTAAATTAGAAGTTATAAGTCAGCATATTTATTCCGAAATCAGAGGTAATCAATCAAAAGAATGTTATATAATTTAGTGACAGATTTACGTACATATATGTATATTTTGTACTTTTGCCCTGTTCCAATAGCTCGATGCTAAGCAATGGATAAAGTTTCTTATACACTAATTTTATCTTAAATAACACTAACAAAAGAATTTTATTGAACATACTATTTTCGACTTTGAAGATTAAAATTATTTTTATGATTCACAGTATCCATAACCTTTTGAAAATTAATAAACTTTGATATGATCTGAGTTTAAAACAACACATGATTTTCAAGAGTAAATAATCTCTAATTGTGATTAATTTTTCTACAATGGAATTCCGCTAGCTACTTCAATCCTTAATTCCGGGTATGATCCTCTTAACGTCACTTTCAAATCTGACATAACCCAACAGCTTCTAATGAAGAACCTTTGTTTTTTTTTAAAGTAAGCAATCCTTACCCGTTGTTCCATTATAGCAAGGAGGTATTATAGTATTAATAATTTTTGCTTCGTTCTTGAAAAAGTAAATATATTTTATTAATATCGGATAACTATTAATGTATAATGTGTTTAACCTAAACATCGCTTATTATTTCATAATTCAGTGTTAGCAAACGTTGAACTATGATTCATTCTTAGGTTAGTGGCGAATGGTTTACCACAAGGCTGTGTTCTGGTACCTATTGTATATACTTGCTATAGATAGGTTTGTAAATGCCATTTCTGACATTCCGCAATATACCCAGAGATTTGCTATATACCTATATAATAAGTCAAGCTTCTATAAAATAAAAATGTTAGGTCTAAACATTTTGAATATTTCAATAAGATTATATTTAGATTTTTGGCAGAATAAGATATGCCTACGTCTTCCATTGGTATTATTTCTATGTGTATTTAAAAAAAACTAATATTGTCAGATTACTAGGAGTTTTTCATTATTTTGTGATCACGATTGCTTCAAAGCACCGAAACGTCTATCGTACGTAGTTCAAAGTAATAAAAATACGCTTAGTAATACGAAAATATTAGGTTTATTTGAATGAATACTCTCGAAAGTCCTAGATCTCATTCTAATTTCTAAGCGTATTTGTTATATATTTGCTTATTAAACAGGCCTCACCTGTAATTGTTATATGTTTGCTTATTAAACAGGCTTTATATACTGAGTGTGTATTTTTATATGCATGTTTGTGTACAAAAGGATAAATAATTCATATTTTTTTATTTAAGGAGATGTATTGAATTGAATTGAATAATGTCATTATTGATTTCTTAAGTTGAATCAATGACTTTAAGATCAATGAAAGAGTCTGAATATAAAATTTACATATTAATAATAATTAACTATATTTTTGTACATCCTTGTCAGTAAAGAACATGTAACTCAATATAAGACTAAGTATCACATGGAACTATAGGAGTAATACAAATAGTTTTATAGTATTCAAACAGATTTAATATAATTTGACATTTTAAACAAGGTAATTGGTAAGCCATACCCGATGGAATCAAAACAATACCATATTCAGTACAAAATCCAGATAAACAAGTTTTAAGTCTATGTTCTCCTAATTACGAGGTGCTTAACAATCTCTTTGTCAGCCTGCAGAGGGAGTTAGTTTATCTATACATATAATAAAATTGTAGAAAAGTGCTGTCTGTACATTTAAAATAAAAATAAAAAAAATAGCAGGGGTTATTGTTATGTCGATGTCGAACCCAAAAATGTAATTAACTTTTTTTTGTCTGTTTGTCTGTTCACGCTAATCTCAGAAACGGCTGATCCGAGTTAGATGCGGTTTCACGAATATATTGTGGTATGCTTCAGTTATGCTTTAGTGTTTGTTTCGTGTCAATCGGTTCATAAATAAAAAAGTTATGTCAAAAAAACGCTGCTCATAGTCACTATTCCACGCGAACGAGGTCGCGGGCACAGCTAGTATTAAATAAAATAGAATAAAATTTATTAAATAAAACAAATGAAAGTGCGTTTTAGAAGCCATTATAATATGATCATCGGGCACACGAGTCGACATCAAACGAATCACAAAGCCTTAAGAAGCATCACTTATCCAATTACGCCGTGACGTCGGTAACACACTTTTGATACGGACGTTCAGCCTTGAAACGGAAAATATAAATATATCTTTATATATAAAAGAAAGTCGTGTTAGTTACAATATTTATAACTCAAGAACAGCTGTACGGGTTTGGATGGACATTGGTGGAGAGATAGATTAGAACAAGGGAAAGAACATAGAATACTTGTCGTCTGATTAAAATGAAAAAAATAAGCTTTTCTATCTACTGTCTTTAAGGAGAAATAGAGTTCGTTCATCAGCTATACATTTCTAATTCAGAAACTAACGTAGATGAAGTCGCGGGCAAAAACGAATATATAGGTATACATAGATTACGATTATATATACATATATTAAACTACCTATAGATTACGCTGCATGAAAAATCACGTCTTATTGTACCTGTACTTAATATTTAACGAATTCTGTACACTTGTTTATTAATAACCAAAAGTAAAATTTAAAAATTCATCGCCTTTGCAAATTAATTGCCATGCGATATGACGAACATTCGAAAACCATTTGTAACTTACATCAAATTAAACAATAATGAAAACTTCTATCTCGCTAAAAACTTGGAATAATTATGTAATAAGGTTTCAGAGAGTAGAAAGTAAATGAGATTCGATATTAAAACATATTAATTTGAGATTTTTCATAACTAAACTAAACCAAGAACGTGTATTTAGTAGCTATTCCTACTTAACCGTAGAGCAATTTTATTTTATTTGAACCTTTTGCTAAAACGTCTCCAAAAGAAGCCAGAGAAATATTTGTTTTTCCAATTGAAATCAATCGACACGCAAATAACTTATTAATGACGTAATTACAACTAATATTCTTTAGTACTGAACATTTGACTACCATAAGTTTGCGACGTTAAATGTCAAAGCGTTAACAGATTTTCTTTAGCGTAGATTATTGGATGAAAAACGAGAGACTTTTAGTGTGTAGTGTGAGTATTATCGAAGCACACTCGTGATAAGCGTAGCTGACGCTAGTACGCATCTCGTTTTGTTGTTATGTAGCTGTTTGATAAAGGAAACGCAAAATGTTATATCGTAAGGGACCCTGTCCCCACACAATGAAACTGAATTACTCGTATGGCGGACTTGATAAGAGATACGCGTTATATATCGTCGGGGTACTGCAAATCCGCATAACTAACATTGTAATTCCGCGTAGCTGCTTTTGAATTAAAGTTAAAGACAAAAATATTCTGACTTTAATGACGTTAAAGTAATTTTTTTGCAGTGAGTAATTATTTCGTTGTTAATTTATTAGTCATTGCAAAAAAAATACCTTAAAAGTTGATAATTTAGAAAATATTTCAGTTTAAACCTTCTTCTGTCAATCTGCTTCCAAAGCTGTTCACAATGCAATTAAGAACATTCTTTTCTATATACTATTTTAAAGAAAATTGTATGTCTGTATTCAAAACATAAATTTTTGACTTATTAAACATTATTACTAAAGCACTTATAATAGTATACTATTATAAATCAATCGCAGACTCTATAAACAGTTGATCATCTTTGTTTATGAATATCGCACCTGAAATAATATATTGTTAGATGATGTATCAAAGATATTTATGAAACGTAAATAATCTTTCACGATATGAACTTTAATATTATAAACTATGGCTGATTAGAATTATATTAAAAATATCCTTAACCAGGCTTGAGGTTAGGTTATGTTTGACGGATAGAAGTATTTTATGTTGGTTTTACCTTCGCCGTTTTTACCTCCTTAGTCTATGCTTGTGTGCGTGTGAGTATGCGTGTGTGCGTGTGTGTGCATATATCAAGAATAATTTAAAAGAAATTTCGTTCTCACACATATTTTTTTTTAATATTTATACTACATATATTGTCTTATAATACGTAAGCTTTATAGCTTCGTTAATGAGACGAACCAAACAATACCCATTTTATAATCAATGGAAAAACCGCTGCATCTTATACATTGGGCCAATTTGTACTTTGGAAGGGGCGGCGTCGGTGCGTTCAGTGCACGCGTACTCTTGCTAAACCTCGCCAGCCGATGTTGAGAAATGAATCATTATTTGAAACTCTTTGTGACACATTTGTTAAGTAAACTGTAGTTTTTAGATAACAATTTTCTAGTTCATTTAGATGTCGTTGATCTCAGTCCTTTGTTTTTAATAATGTACTAGTATTACTAAATTAATTGTAATAAAATTTCAATATTGCTCCGGTTCAAATCAATCTATTTCTATTGATATTAATGTTTCATTATTGAAGTTAAAGAGATCGGTTTGAGATAGATTGATGTTTTATTGGAACAGACAGACAAACAGAAATATTTAAATTAAATCATATTAAACAGAAAAGAAAATGGACAAAACTCAGCCATTTAAATACACCAAAGCAAAATCCTTA